ATTTGTCACCACTACGGATGCGGAAAATACCGAGAGTGAGGACGAACTCAGTGATAGCGGTAAAGAGGATGAGGGGGAAGAGGACGAGGACGAGGACGAGGAATAAAATAGTCTGCTCTGGGTCGCATTATCTTATATTATACCCACTCTTTACTTTTCTTGTTTTAATATCGCTGCAGTTAATTTCGATGTAATATATTATTATCATTGATTTATTACCCGCTATTTAAACATGCTCCCTTCTCTATCATCCTACAGTCCTCTCAAGAGCACTATTGTGCCTATGAAGCTAAATTGACAATCATCATATCGAGATCTCGTAAGGGACCACGAGTTCTATTGAGTGCAGTTGAGTCATACCCACGTAAGATGCTGACTACAGAGCTCGCAATAACTGGGACTTGGTAACGTGCCTACAATGCCTATCCGGACTATGTGGGTCTCTGTTGGCGGTTGTAGCTAGCTGCATTTTTGCTGATGATTCCTGCTACACTGCCGCTATAACTTTAACTGTCTGAGAGATTTCCTAAGATAATTTGAATTAGTGATGAATATAATACTGTATTCCCCAAAAAGGAAAAATTTATATATCAATTTAAAACACATTTCTAATGCAATTGGAAAGAGGTCGACTTCCCTCATGCAAATTTGGATTGCTTACGTAATCACTAATTTTTCGGTTTCTTGAAATTTTGAAGCTTTTAGTGTGTTCGTACGCTGGACAAAATTTGGGATCCAGAACTGCAGCGGCTCAGGCGCTAGAGAGTGGCCGCTTCTTAGTGTCCCACACTGCAGAATAAAGGGACAAACAGATGTAAGGGCAAGGTTGAAATGATATCCGATGCAAGTTCAATCTCCGAGTCTCCGACAATCATCACGGGCCAGGCGCTCGGGCACCGGCCATCACTGGCCATTGGAACCATGGGCCGTTGTCTCCAGCTCACATAAGAGTGCCACCGGCAGTTTTCTGGAGCGCACAATATGGTATAAAAATATTCGTAATGGTTTTGTGTCCAGCGTAATGGAAATAATCATCCGGTGGTCGGCCTGGGATGGACTAGAGGCGAAACAAATGATAGTCTTAGGTAGTATAGTGGTTAATATTCGAGCCTGTCAAGAATTTAACTCCAGTACGCGCGAGACCGGGTTTAATTCCTTGTCAGAGAGTTTTTTTATGCTATTTTTGAGGTTATCTCTGATTTGTTTTGCTCCCTGAACGAAAGATATTAGTGTCGTGCACAGTACGCCGTGCACAAAAGATATCCGCCGCCACTCGCTGATATATGCAATATCGTCGCAAATGCCTTTTAATTTGAAGTATTCTGAGCCTTAGACGTTGATGTTTTTGTTTAGAAATAACTAAATTTGGTTCCAGTCGAGGTGATTTTTATCGTTGTAGCACAGACTCGGCCCCTGCATAAGGATAACACGCTTCTCCAGAGTAAACGACCTTCGAATTGTAAAATTAGTTTCTTAGATTGGATTTAGTTCGTTAATTAAAATTATCTGAAGTTGGCAAGACGGAAGAGCTACGTCCCGCGCAAAGCGCTGATTGCGAGGAGACCGAATAAAATAAATATTGCGACCCGAAGGTCGTCCACTCTGGAGAAGCGTCATCCTTGTGCAGGGCCATGCTAATCTGGCAGCGAGGAACAGCGATGACGACGAGCGGGAGGGATGGTGACGACGAGCGGGCGGCAGTGGAACGGCGAAGACGGGCAGGTGGCAATGGAACGACGACGACGAACGGATGGCAGCAGTGACGACGGACGGACGGCAGCAGTGACGACGGCGAGAGACGGTGTTAAAAACAATGGAAAAATCTTTTAAATTTCACGTCGCTTGTCTTAATGATTTAAAATGCATTAAATCCTCGCATATTCTCTTCAAAGAGTGCTGGGCACCATGTGGTAAGAACTTCAACATGTAACTGTAAGTTAAGTTTAACAGAATAAAAACGTAGATTATTCATCATTATCCCCAGATTCTGTGTTTACTGGACATGAAACGGGCAAAAATGTGAAGGACAGAGAATAAAAGGTGCTTAAAAGGTGCACCGATGGTCACCACATTTTACAGACCGGCTATTGCCCTTGAAGGAATTACACTGTTCTAACATCATAAACTCTATGATTTCATGATAGAGTAACTGCCGGATTTGAAGGTAGGATATGTTCCAAGGATAAGAAGGCACCCTCAATTCATCACCTTCCACGTCCGGGCCCGCCTTCCTCTCCTTTTGAATGGTCCTCTCCCGACGCCCGGGCCTCGATTAATCAAGGGTTCCAGTAAAATGTCTTAGGTAGTATAGTGGTTAGTATTCGCGCCTGTCAAGGCTTGAAACCGGGATTCAATTCCCCGCCTGAGAGCTTTTTATGTTATTTTTGACCTAGAAAGGTTTATTGAGAGACGAGGAATTAAGATAGAAGAAAGGAAGCGATACCGAGGTGATATCATCGTTTTACGCGCGAATTTTCGACTTCAATAGACCTCATGACCTTTTTAAACTAGAGGTCCAAAACCACCTTTCTCAATTTAACATGACTAGAAAAATAAACTTAATCATAATACAGAACATGGAATTGATAGGCATCGCGAAGTTACCGGCTGTGACAGCGATATTGCTCCTATTTTAATTTATTTCGACACATTATCTCTAGGATAAATTAAATCTATAAGGCCCAAACGATAGCCTTCATGTCAGTTGTTCGAGATTAACCGACCTAAACGACTTACCTGACGTCGACAAGGAAATGTTTAAAGCGTCTCGATTCAGTCTGACAGACACCTCGCGAAGAATCTTAGAATCCCTAACAGTAACACTTTCTTCCTGATCACCGCGTCATAACAACTGTCTCAATTCTACTTCGGTGCAGCGAATTCCACCTCCATGGTGTGGTTAAGGTGATAATGACTGAAGTATGGATTAGGAGTCACGGTGGAGAATTCCCCTCTCGAACAAAGTTTGGGTTTGAATTTATTGTGTATGGCAGTAAGTTCCTACTGAGGCAAAATTAGACTGGAGCTAAGAAAGCCTGTTTATTTTGCATTGATATGGATGAAAACGGTCGACTTGAACTGGTGCTGGTACACACGTGATTAAAACCTTCGTTCATTTGGGTTATTTAACACCTAAGTTTGCTACCAAAGCTATCCTTGATAAAACATCCCGCGTTTATACTTTCAATATCTCACAGGAATAAAATTGAGCCCATTAATAAAATTAAAATATGCAAATACGTGCAAATACAACTACGAATAATCTTACATAAGGATCATGCCTTTTCTGATAACTTTTCATCTAGCTTCTCTTTCTCGGCTTGTATTTGTCGGTCAAGCTCCGAGACGAATGTAAGCATTTCTTAAGGACGCGTCAGTGCCAACGCCACATACTCTAGCTGAAATTATTAATAATCCCCCAGCGTAGGATGGGCTCGCTTACCCAGCGACCAGTTAATAATTAATAACTGGCGCCTCGCCGATTAACTAAAGGATAAGATTAATCCTACCAGGTGGGGTTGCGGTCTCATTATTAATCGGTTAATAGTAATAGCCAGCAACCAAAAAATTGCACAAGCACGGGTTTGAACCCGCAACCCCGACAGCGAAATGAGACAGGCCAATCCATTGCACCATGGTGACTATAAAAATATTGTAACAAATGTTTTACATATACAGCAGGCGCGCCAAACAACCTATAAAAAAAAGAAGGAAAAAGCATTAATCCCTGGATATTGCAATTATTAATTATGATAAAATTACTCCTTAAAGTGCACGGGCAAGGATTAATGGATATTATTAATGGAATAATCGAAAGTATTAATACAACCAGTATCAGTCGAAGGTAGACGCCTGTGTCTTTGTCGCGATTTTTTTGATACTCTAGTTGCCATGTCTTTAATAGGGAGTTCCGTTTGAAATATCCCATTAACCTTCTTGTGGGTGAGTGGTAGAGTGTTAAGTATCTAGTGCCAGCTCTCATAAGGCCTTTGGTTCGAAACTTTCTATGAACATTCTTTTTTAAGTATGAGAAATTTAGTTATTTACTAACTATTTTCGAGCCGCTACAGTTATTAATTATTAACTGGTCCATGGGTAAGCGAGTCCACCCTACGATGGAGGATTATTAATAATTTCAACTAGATGACCTCCCAACGCATATCTCAAAACATGAATACCCGCAGCATTATTTGGTTCAAACAATAACCCTAAGCCTACAGCCAATTTAGCCTCTTCAAAAATCCTTCAAGCTCTGCAACGCTTTCGCTTTCCGGAAGTGCCCTTTGCTCCAGTTGCGCTTTATTTGAATGACTTCGACGTCCACGAGAGCGGAAACAAAACCTCCAAGGATGGCAGATGCGGCTGAATGATTCAAAAGGACCATGGCAAGTTCTTCTTTGATCAGATTCGAGACTTCCCAGTCTGGACGCGTTATTGTGATCTGGGCAGCGGTGGTGTACATGACGATTGCCTCGGAGTATTTCTGCTGGGAGTAGAGTTTCTGGAATGACCAAATTCGAATCAGTAATCTAGGATAGCACATGCATCCAATACTCACGTTTTCCTCATCCTTTTAAAGTTTTGCTATGGCGACCGAACTGGGATTCTGCATTACAGTCGCGGGGTTAATTGGAGGTGGAATGCTTTCGTGCAGTGGAGGCAGCATCGTATTGAGCTGATACGCAGGGCTTCTCCAAACGATCTGCAACCCTAAGAAGGAATCATACCTCTAGACCAACAGGCTACGGTTCTCCCTGCACTGGAATCAGGTCAACAAGAGTGCATATACGCTAGCTTTGTAAATCAGCATGTGAACGAGAGCATAGGAGGGTTGACCCGTCACGCGTTCACGTTGTACTACTTGGATCAATCAGGTCCGAGTTTTATCATTTTCGTCTAAAGATTCTCCTTGAACGAAAGAGAGAAATCCGTCAGTGACAAAGTGACCACTTAGAGGGAGATTATCCTATCCATCCATGTCATTAAATAAATGCCCAATGCCGAAGATATGTCTATGTTAAGCTTAAATCTTTGCGAGAGAAATGAAATAACATACGGCCAATCGGATACTATACATTATCTTAAAGCCGTTCGACCAGGAGATCGTATTTATCGACGCTTTATGTGGGGATTGGCCTCCTTCAATACCGTGGCAGCATCGAGGATGATAAACTCGGGGAGAATTGTTAACAAAGCGAGAGAATGTTATACGATATGAAACCAGAATATACGTGAGAAGTATTAGCTCGGGATATATATGACTGGGACAGAAACCTCGAGTTGTTAAAATCAACCACAGCAGCGACCGAGAATATAACCTGATTTTCTGTGTAAATTTATTTGAGCTACACCGTGACTAGAATTAAATGACCAAGGACGATAGAGAATACTTATCTGCAACGAGATTATTCAGGTCACTGATCCCGGAAGATCCTATGAATTAAATAACCCCATATATTCCCTGTCTGAAGTAAAAATCAGTATGGATTTCAATATAAGAACGATAATGTCTCCCAAGCAGAGCTTGAAAGAGTTCATACCCAAGAAATGAAGGTGCAAAGAATGCGAGGAATGCAGGGGTTCGACCACCGGCCCTACTAAAAGATCAAAAAAAAAAAGATTCTTTTGTTTACTCATCATGGACATTTTTGGTGTAAAATTTCAATGAATGGTATGTTTTTTCTTCTCGTAAATTACAGTATTCATTTGATTATATAATTATATAAGGTTTGAGAAGGAGGGCGGAGGTCTCCAATCTGGGCTTAGCTCCAAAATTGGAGACAGTATCAGCGTCTAATCGTCCGGTCCGCCGTTCAGTGTAGTCCTCGCGGGGAGGTAGAGTTAGGAGAACACGGCACTGCCCTGAAATCAGCGGCAGTGTCTGAATACATTTGTGGAGAGGCGAGAAAAAGAAAGATACATGGTAAGTAGTAGATGTGAAGACCTCAATTAATACAAATGTTGTGCAGCAACAAGCTTTGATAAACATGGAGAAATAATACAGAATCAGAGATACAACGGGGACAGGGAGGGTGGGTGACAAAAATCGAACTGAACGGCTATAAGAGTGTCAGAAAGTGAATAAATCTACAGGGAGCAAACCTACCAAGGGAGCGAGTGTCAGAACGTGAGGAGGAACTCGTGCTCCCTTGGATTTAGATATCAATGGATTAGTAAGCGGTGCCGTTAATGGCAAGTCCTCGCATGTGAAAGGGACGGATCCCATGAGGACGGACCTCATATGTGAAAGGGGCGGACCCCGTGAGGACGGACCTCATATGTGAAAAGGGCGGACCCCATGAGGACAGACCTCGTATGTGAGAGGGACGGACCCTGTGAGGACGGACCTCATATGTGAGGGGGACGGACCCCTATGCAGACTGAGAACCGGACTATTAGCCTAGTGTAAACAAAAATTTAAACACGATTAATTAAGCAACTTCTCTTGTTTGGAACTATTGACCGGAGCTTGCAGTATCACATAGTAATAATAGTAAACGACAACTTGTTGCATCATTGAGCACGCACAAAGCACTCCAAAGCACGCACACGACCCTCTCAGGCCTCATCATCTCGACCATTATACTTCAGCAATAGTCAAGATAAAGATAACGATCCCTCAGTTAGTAAGTACAGCTCTCTGTCTCCCGGTTCAGGACTAACTTCATGGAGACATTAGTGACCAGGCAATTAAATTCGAAGACCTCGCAATTGAACTCATAGAAAATATTGTTTCCTATATCGAATTACCAGCCCACTTGCTCTCTCTGGCTTTGACGACCCGTTCCTTTTATTCATTCATCATTTCATACCATATAGGATTTCGCCGAATACATACACGACCAGGCCAGCATGCTTTATGGGCCAGACTTGGAACTCGGCCACATCTCTCAGAACGTGTCGATAGTCTACAAATATTTCACGCAGCTGGTTATGAGAGGAAGTCAATATTTGTCCCCGTACAAGATGCCACGAACTCAAAGAGATAGAGGTGCAATATAGCCATACGTTACGTCGAGGTGGTGGAGATTTTAATGTTATGCTCAACCAGTAAGTTTGAAGCAGCTTGTTCTCTTTGCCCTGGTAATTTACTTTGCCTTTTATGAAGCTATATCAACTCTCGAATCTCACTGCCGCTTCATTTTCGTTCACCCACGAAAATCATAGAGCCAAATACATAACTAAAATTTTGGATATGCTAATTTTTCGCTGTCCACCCCTGCAAAAATTAGCTTTGAAATGGACTGGACAGGATGATATACGGATACCTCAGCCTCTCTTGCAGGCAAAATGGGCGAAGCTCAGAAGCCTTAGCTTGGGCGGAGCTGTTGACCTCTACCAAGAGTCTACCAATGAAACAGGGCCGAAC